GGGAGTGGGAGTGGGAGTGGGAGTGGGAGTGGGAGTGGCAGTAGCAGTGGGAGCGGGAGTGGGAGTGGGAGTGGCAGTGACAGTGGCGATGACAGTGGCAATGGCAGTGGCAGCCCATCCAGCTTGAACAGCGCTAAGTCCTTGCTCTCCCTCTTCATCTCTCGAACGCCAGCCTCGTCGACGGGATTGCTGCTGAAGATGCTCGGGTTGAAAGTGACGGCCATCAAGATCGATCCGTACATGAACATCGATGCGGGCACCATGGCTCCCACAGAGCACGGTGAGGTGTTTGTGCTCAACGATGGCGGCGAGGCCGATCTGGATTTGGGCAATTACGAGCGATACTTGGATGTGACGTTGGGTAGAGACAACAACATCACAACAGGCAAGGTCTACAAGAAGGTCATCGAGAAGGAGGTGAGCGAGCGAGCGAGCGAGGCAGGAGAGACACGTCACGTCACTCTCCACCTCATTTATCCTCCTTCTTCCGGTGCCCCCACACTCTCACACTCTTTCCACCCCCCACAGCGCGCGGGCGAGTACCTTGGCAAGACGGTGCAGATCGTGCCTCACCTCACATCCGCCATTCAAGATTGGATCGAGCAAGTGGCTGCTCAGCCAGTCGACGAGACGGACGAGACGCCAGACGTGTGCATCGTCGAGCTGGGCGGCACAGTGGGCGACATCGAATCCGCTCCCTTTGTCGAAGCGCTGCGACAGTTCCAATTCCGCGTGGGTCAAGAGAATTTTGCCCTCATCCACGTCTCCTTGGTGCCCGTCGTGGGTGGCGAGCAAAAGACGAAACCTACGCAAGCAGCTGTGCGCGATCTCAGAGGTTTGGGTTTGGTGCCAGACATGATCGCCGCCAGATGCGTCGAACCTCTGGAGAGGAGCGTGATCAATAAGCTGTCCATGTTCTGCCACGTCGGTCCCGAACAAGTCATGGGCGTCCACGACGTGCAATCCACCTATCACGTGCCTCTGCTCCTCGAACAGCAAGGCATGGTTCGCTTCTTTGAACGTCGTCTGAAACTCGACATCAAACAAGGCATCACCAAGAGCATGCAGCAGCGCGGCAACGCCCTCAAGACACGCTGGAGAGAACTGACGCTGAGGTGAGTTGGGTGGGTGGGGGGGGAGGGGGGGGGGGGGGCAAAGCTGCTCAGCCAGCCGAAAGCGTGCGCTGGCTGCCATCCCGGCCACTATCGGACTTCAGCGCATCGCTTACACGATCATGCTCATGCACGCACGCACGCACGCACGCAGCCAAGATCGCCTGTTCGACAAGGTGGAGATTGTGCTCGTCGGAAAGTACACCAGCTTGCAAGACAGTTACATGTCGGTCGTCAAATCCCTCGAGCATGCTGCTATGCGGGTGCAACGCAAATTGGTGCTCAAGTGGGTCGAGGCTGGCGACCTGGAATCGCAGATGGAGACAGACAATCCGGTGAGGTATCACGAAGCGTGGCACGCCGTTTGCTCCGCGTCTGGTATCTTGGTACCGGGCGGATTTGGAAGCAGAGGCACGGAAGGCATGATCAGCGCCGCGGCTTGGGCAAGGACGAAGCGGGTGCCCTTCCTGGGCATTTGCCTCGGCTTTCAAGTCGCCGTCATCGAATTTGCGAGGAACGTGTGTGGAATTCAGGATGCCAATTCTGCCGAGCTGGACAAGACTTGTCCCTCGCCCGTCGTCATCTTTATGCCGGAGATTAGCAAGACGCAAATGGGAGGCACGATGAGGTTGGGCCTCCGACCAACCGTCTTTGGCAAGGGCACTGAGTCGTGGAGCAAGATTCGCAAATTGTACGCGGGAGCGCCCATCGTCTGGGAAAGGCATCGTCATCGCTACGAGATCAACCCGGAATACGTGGAGAGGATAGAGCGCGGAGACCCTGCCGCTTCGCCTCCTCCTCAAACTCCAGCGGATGCTGCTGCTGGGCGCAGACCAGGCACACCGCCTATTCAATCTGGTCCGAGAAGCCTACCCACCAGCCCGAGCTTGGGCTCTGATGGCGTGCCTTGCATCTTGCCAGCTTCCAAAGCGCCTGGCGAGGGAAGTCGGGATGTGCTGAGGTTCATCGGAAGGAGCGAGACGGGGGACCGCATGCAGATCGCAGAGATTGCCGATCATCCTTACTACGTTGGTGAGTATGGTGTGCAAAAGTGGCAAAAAAAAAAAAAAAAAAAAAGGGGGTTCGCAGTGGGCGCCGGCGGCTCATCCTTTCGGACGCCTTCACCTCTTGCGCGCGCACGCGCAGCTGTTCAGAGTCATCCGGAATTTGCAAGTCGGCCACTCAAGCCCGGACCTTGCTTCTTGGGTCTGGTCGCCGCAGCGGTGTCCCACGACGAGTTGGAAAAGCAGATGGAGCTGTCCAGCTCCTACACTGCACCGCATCCAAAGAGCATGATGATCCTCGAGTCCGAAGCTGCCAGGCTTGCCGAATCCGAGCACAACACCGATACGTTGGGCTCTGCCGACGGAACCATGCCACCCGTGCGCAGACCCAGCACGGTGGAAAAAAGCGCTGCCACACCTCCTGGCAGCTCCACACCCACGCGCGGCAGGAGCCCGCCCGAGAAGAGCGTCAAGTTGGGCGAATCGGCAGTCAATGGGCGGAGCATCAAGTGAGAGAGAGAGAGAGAGAGAGAGAGAGAGGGCGCTCAAAGTTCGCATCATGTATGTTACATTACTCTCGAGTACCTTTTGTCAAAGACATGAATCATCGTACGTGTGGGTAAAAGCGCCATGGGGGAGTGGAGCGCCACGAATGTGATGCGACATGCCCGCCCTAGGCCAGCAAGTCGTCCACTCCGCTTCGTGGTGCAGGCGCATCTGCAGCATAACCGCCTCCGACACCTCCAAATTCCGGTCCAAGATCACCAAGCATCGCGTAAGGATCTTCTTCGGCCTCTCCATTCGCACCACTGGGCCGATCTGCTGAATCGCCTCGTCGAACTTCGTCCGAGGAGCGATTCGTTTCTGCCGTAGCCCCTTCAGAGGCAGTCGGGGCGGATGATCCATTGTGCGCGAGCGCCCCAGGCGTGGCGGGAGCATCATCCGTCGCCGCTGCGCCGTCTGTGGTGCTTGGCGGAAGCGCTGAAGGTGGTGCAGCTCGTGCACCCGTTTCGGCTTGAACATTTGCCAGGCCACCGGGATTTCTAGGCGTCGGTCGAGAGTACAAGTGCCGGCTTGCACTCTTCTTGGCCGCTTCATCGATGGCAGGCGAGTCGGGAAGATATCGAGCTTTGCTGCCCCTAATGAAAGTCTGCGGTTGGCGGTGGAAAATGCTCGCGAGGCTAGCACCGTGCAATAGCAATTGATCCAGCAGCGTCCTGTCCATCCTGTCCGTCTCTGTGCTGATAGCTGGCTTGTTCGACAGCACCACATCGCGAGCGGCTGCAGGATCCGTCGAGAGCAGACGCCAGTACATGTATCCGCGATCCCGCAGATCCGGATTCTCCACCTCTTCCGTAGCCCATTTGAGCACTTTCGGTACCAATTCTCCACCCGCTGCAGGACGCTTGAGGAACAGCTTGACTGTAGCGGTCAACAGTGCGAGTTGAACCTGTGTAGGAGTTTGACGATGCACGCACTGAGCTGACGTCCCACGATTCGCGCGCACAAAATCTCGAATACTCACTTCTACCGGCTCGTCCAAAAAGGTGAATAAAAAGTCTTCGAGCAGCTCGTCGGAGTTTTCGATGCGCTCAGCGTACTGCCCAATGATCCACACCATGGCCGCTCGCGCTTCGGGCTCGTCTAGGCTGTCCAGATTCTCGCACAAGACGCTGATGATGCTCTCGTATCGATCGGGGTACTTTCTAAAAATGTCCTTGATGACGACGATGGCCTCTTGAACGACGTAGTTGACCTTGGTCTGGATGAGCGAGAGCAGCACCTTGATGCACCTGTCCGCTGTAGATTCGATCTTTATCGCCAGCCTGCCGATGCTCCGCACGGCTTTCCTCACAAAGTCCACGTCCACCTCTGCAGCATACTCTCTCAACTCTGCCAAGACCTGCTCCACATTGCGCTCCGATGCGAGCCTGTACATGATTTCCAGCTTGGCCATCTTGACGTAGATGGGATCATTGTACTTGCAAAAGAACACCTTGACGTCGTGTTGCAGCACGATGGGTCTGCGCTGAATGACGAGGAGAATGTTGCGCAGCGCGACGTACTGCACTTCGGGTCCTGAAGACAGGAGGGTGACTGTGGCGCGAGCGGTGCGGGGAGGGGAGGGGGCGCCTGGTCAGCAAAGCGCGCTCGCACACGCCAGCACCGCTTTGCACCGCACTCGCACACGCCAGCACCGATTTGCACCGGCACTCACCCAACGGCGGACTGATCTTTTTGCAGAGGCTCTCCCTGAATTCTGCGCTTGCAATGTAGTTCATGAGGTAGAGGATGACCTTGACGCTGGTGAGCACGACGGCCGAATTGGCGTGCTGAAGCCTGACTGCGATGCGTTCAGCTAGAATCTCTGCGTCTGCATAATCTTGCGGCACAAAGAACATGAGGCTCTCTAGAATGTAGGTCTGACCCCACTCGGAGCAATCCGGCAGCGCGCTGACCAGCTTGCTGGCGATGGTGAGGTTCAGTTTGAGTTGGATGTTGTCCGACCTCTCGCTGATCTCTGTGAGCGCAGCCACTGCGTTGGCCACGACGGTAGGATTCGTGTCGGCCAAGAGATCCCTGAGCATTCCGATCAAGCCTTGCCTGTCCACCACTTTGCGATCGTGCATGTACAGTTTGGCGACGCAGATGGCGGCCGTCTTGCGAACGTAGGGATCGCTATCCCGCAGCGATTGTCGCAGAGGATCGAGCAGGGCGGATATGACGACGGGGACGTGAATGTAAGACATTGTGCGTATGGCCAGTGCGCGAATGAGCGGATTGCGATCGTTGCAGTCCTGTCATGTCGCAGGCGAGGGGCGATGAGCATACGAGGCGAGCAAGGTGGCCGCCATGCCATGCCACGCCACGTCACGCCACGACTCACAGATAGAAAGCCAGGAATGGCGTTTGGGATGAGCTCGGGCTGCGATCTGCCATAATTGATGAGGTACAAGTCTGTGCGGATGGGCGAGGGAAGCGCGTGCACGTGATGTGATGTGATGTGATGTGACGTGAGCACCACGTCATTCCTCTTCCCCACACCCACATCCACACCCACACCGACAAGCCCCCGCCCCCACCTCCACCGACAAATTAACCCCCTTGCCCACACTCACAAACCATCTTTTTGATCTCCAATACTTGAATGGCCATGCAGGTGTTGACGACATCGTTGAACAGGCTGGACATGTCGTTGCCCATGGTGGCATTAGCAATGATCCTCTTCAACGTCGTCCTCTTGCGCACCCAACCCTTGTCCTTCTTCTCCGAGATGAGCTCCGCCTTGAGCTCGGCCACCTTGCCGCGCGCGAACAGCTTGCCATCCCTTCCCGATGCGTCCGTCATGGTGTGTATGCGATGTGTTGTGTGGGGGGGAGGGATGTGGATGTAGTCTGAGTGGCGATTGAGCGGATAGGGATGGGTGTGGAGGAGAGGTCGAGGCGTGAAATGACGAGTGCGAATGCCATGCCATGCCATGGCAGCCGGCTGGCTGCTGCTGCTTGCTTGGCTTGCATTCACGATTGCAGGCCTTGGTCGCTGTGCACGCAGCTCGGTTCTGCGCGATGTACTGCACACCTGCTGCTGCTGTACGCTGGTATATGTATATACACGCCGCGCCATACGCCGACCGCGGCCCCGAGTTTGGTCACGTGACTGTCGCTTACGGGTAAAGTCAAGTGGAGGCAATCGAATCGAATCGTGAATCACCAAATGGTGAATCAAATCACGAATGCAAAAGGAAGGAAGGATTGCTTGGGAAATTCTACTCTTGACTCGCTTTTCGGATTGACCTCGATGTTGGCATTCACGATTCCATTCAGATTTCACAACGTGCATCCCACATTCGCAACACAACACATTCATGAAGAGCGCGCAGCAGGAGGAGGAGGAAGTTGAAGACGAGTCATGGTCAAGTGTTTGTTTGACTCGACTTGACACGTCGCTTTGACTGCAACACGCCCACGCCCACGCCCACGCCCACGCCCACGCCTACGCCTACGCCTACGCCTCTCGCCTTTGGCCGTTTGGCTGGGATGGAGGAGGTGCAGGCGATAGTGAAGGCGTTCAGCTTGCTCTCCGGTGAAGCGGACGATCGAGATGCTGCCTTGCGGCACCGCATCAAGCTTCATCTGAGCGGCAGCGGCAGCAGCAGCAGCAGCAGCAGCGCAGCAAAGCCGCAGCGTGAGTGTGAGCTGCGCCGTGCGGCAACCACATTGCTGCTGCCACTCTCACCCCTTGCCTCCCGCTCCCACTCCCACTCCCACTCCCACCCTCACTCCCACCCCCACTCCCACCCCCACTCCCACTCCCGCCAGACAAGGATGCGCTGTTGGAATGCAGACTGTGTGAAGCTCAGTCGCGACTGCAAAGCTACAACGCCCCCATCATCACCACCGACACCAACACTACCACCAACACCACCACCACCACCGACACCGCCACCGCATCAGTGCAGCATCGCACAGGCCAGCTCATCCTCCACCTCTTGCTTCAGCTTCACAACACTCTGTCTCGACTCCAGCAAAGCACTTCCTCTCTGCCCGCACCTGCACCTCCACTCAGCGGACCATCGAGAATCAAAGCGCAAGATGATGCCCCTCCTCCTCCCACCATCGCCCCTCTCATCGGCACGCGCGACTCGCAGTGCATCTCCTTGTGTCTCGCCCTGTGCATACACTGGCACATTGCACATCTCATCACATCCTTCGATCGCGCACATCACGCTCGCACTCGCGCTGAGCTGCGAGAGGATGAGGGTGAAGCGGAGTTGCGCATCGCAGCGCAAAATCTGCAGCAAGCCTTTCAATCTCTTCGGCATTTGCTGCCACCGGCCCTCGTCTCGCCCAGCAACGCCATTCCCAGCAGCGGCGCAGCCAAGAGGGGCATAGCTGAACAAGCGGCTTCAACGCGCAGCAGCGAGATCAGCGCCATCGTTTTGGAGTCAGCCGTACCCGCACTCTTGGCCATGGCTATCAGGCTCGGTTGGCTGCCTCATCTTGCTGGCGGCGACCAGCTTGGCGATGCACAGTCGGCTGCAGCCACGTTGCAGAGCGTGTTGAGGGGGTGAGTGGACTGCACTTTCCCTGATCGCAGCGCTTCCTCGATCCTCGCGCTCCACTCACATCTCACCCAACCTCTTTGCTCTCACAGCCTTTCAACCGCCTCTTCCATCAACGCGCTTTCGAGCAGCAGCGCACTCGCGGGTGCAGCGGCAGCCTCTGCAACTCCCACGCAGCGCAGCAGTGCGCCGACAGCCCCTCTCATGCTCACACAGCGCGCTGCTCCTGCATACGTTCGGCACATCACCATGCGCTTCATGGCTGCACAATTGCTACGCCAGGATGGCGTCCGGTGCATGGTCGCAGCCGCATTGGGCTTTCAAGACGATCATCTTGGCAGTGCGAGCCGCGATGGCGGGAACGGTGAGTGCTATGCCTATAGACGCCGGCCGGAGCTATGGTGAGCAAGCACGCTGAAATCCTCCGTCCTCGCGCTTCTGCTGGTAAGCGCAACTGGAGGGCTTCGAGAAGATTGCGCAGCTGCTCTCGTCGCCTCCGAAGGGTATGCCGCTGCAGGTGAGCTATCGCATTCCGCGCACTGAAAATCGCAAGTGAGGGGCAGTGGTTGAGCGATTGGTCGCCTTGCAGATTTTCCTCGGGTGCATCATCCCTCAAATGCTGCAGATGCTCTCAGACCTGCCCTCCGCACCATTGCAACACAGGGCAAGCTCCGGTGCGCCACCGCAAGAAGACACCACCTCTGGTCTTTTGCACCCGCCCTCCCTTCAACCCCGTATCGAGGTTCCCGACTCGCACGCGCGAGCCATCGCCTTTGCTCTATGTGCGTTGCATCGTCGTCACCAATCAGAGTTTTCCTCTGTCCTGGAAGGCTACATTTGGCTGCCATTTCAGCCATCGCGCACGGCAGCTCCACCGACATTGCGATCGCAGTCGACGACAGCTGTACCCGACGCCAAAGGCGAGCTCGTCGTGCACAGCCTACACGTCAGCTGCGCAGTGCGCCTCATCGAGGCCATCATCTCGTCTGCTCCGCCAGAGCCGACCTTCATTTCGTCACTCCTTCAACCCGTATTTACGCAGCTGTTCACGTGCTGGTCTTGCCTGCATGGTCCAGGCAACATGGTGGATGAAGTTGCTGCCGACGTTGGCATGAAGGTCATCCTCGCAAATTTGTTGAGCACCTACCTGAAGCTAGGCGACGCATCGGCTCTAGCAAGTCTTCTTGGTGCGAATCCCGATGGTCTTTTGATTCGCGCGAGAGATGGGTTAGGCGAAGAGGCGCTCGATGGCGACGCCTTTCATTGGGCAAACGCTGCTGACGGGCTGGAAATACGCTCCGGGTGCGTGTAGTCTGCTCTGTGACGATGAAAGACTTCTCTTACACCATCTGCCTCGCAACACAGAGCATCACCGCGGCAAGACACTCAGCTGGGCACACCTCTTGGGGATGCTCTCTCTGCGCTTTCGCTCGAGGCATGGGATGTCTTTGGGCGCGCTGGGCTCAACGATGCCGATGAGACGGAAGTTGATGCTCGGCAAGAGGCCACTAATGCACAGCAGCTGCTCGCAAAGCTCGGCTTGAATTTGCGACCCGATCCGAGCTTGTACGTCAAGATGATCCAAGACTCTGGCCGCGCCGACGTCGCTGCGCTGCTTTTGAGGCATCTTTTGGAAACGTATGCAGGTGTGCAAGCGGCACAAGAGGCTGGGGCGGAGCAGCTCGCTGCAAAAGTCAGGTGAGCTGCAGACTTATTTCGACTCGCCGTGCCGCCGGATCCGACTGACCAGCGTCCGACTTTTCAAGTCCTCTGCTCCTGCTGCAATGCATTACGCAACTTCTGCAAGCATTTCAGGAACAGCTTTTGAAAGCAGAGCCCGACGTCGTCCTGGGTTTCATCGATTTTGCGTTGCGCAGCACCAACATCGCGGAAGCCTCTCCAAAAGAATCCAATCTACAGGCACCACTGATTGTTCCCCTTCCTGTGGATGGCAGCCACTCGCAACTTCCTGACAGTGCACTTGACGACGAGATAGAGGCTGCAGCAGATGGAAGTGGCAGCATGGGAATGTCCACCGAGCTCGTTTGCGTTGCGCTGGAGCTGCTGCTTGCTTTGCTGGAGGGTGAGGCTCCGTCGACCGCTCTGGCTTGGTGTCAAGGGCGTATGCTGACCACAAATCAACTCGAACTCGCAGGCCATCCTAACATGACGCCTTCTAGCCACACCTTGCTTGAAGGTATTGCAAGGTCCGCCGATCACCATGCGGCGGGCGACGTTAAAGTTGCAAAACTCGCGCGAGAAGTTCAGCTAGTGTTGCTGGCCAGGCGCCATAGCGCAAGAGGTCCAACAGCCGGCAAGAGGGCCTCTGAGACCTCATCACCTGTACGACGTGGAAATGCTCTTTACAACAAAGCCTTGCGGCTCTTGCAAGATCCTGTTGTGCCCGTACGCGCTCATGGTCTCACGGTGCTTGGCGATCTGGTGCGCGAGGCCGATGGAGTCCGAATGGAAGCTGCGCTGGTACCTGCGCTCCTCGACATGCTGATTCAGATTGTGCAAGACGAAGAGTCATTTTTGTATCTGAACGCCATCAGGGTGCTCGCTGCGCTGGCTCGACGCAGAGACTCGGACTCTAGGACCCTTGGCCGACTAGTAGATGTTTACATTGGTGCCATCTCCGCACGATCCTTGTCGATGCATGCAAGCGAGCTCGACAAACGTCTGCGGGTAGGCGAAGCGCTGCTGCTCGTCATCAAACAAAGCGAAATTCAAGGTGGGTCGGAGTTGGATAAGGCGTCCTTTGCGCTGCCTTTGTTCATGCTTTTCCTTCATCCACGATCATAGCAACCGAACTCATCGCACCACTTCTAAGCGCTCTCGCCAGTGCCTATGTGCCCGCCACATTGCGAAGCAGCGTCATTTCCGTGCTTGGCACTACTGTGGAGGCGAACCCTCTGCGGATAGCTGCGAATGGACACGCGGAGCAAATGGCGCTTGCTATGTTCGACCTAATAGCTCTCGAGCTCCAAGGAGCAAAGCCGAGCGCCGAAGTCGACGAGAAAGAAGAGAAAGGTGGAGTTCGGATGGAGGATGCCAGCAAGCCTGCGCAATTGCGGCGAAGCGCTTTTCACCTGCTCGCTTTACTGATACGAGGAAGCAAGCACCAGATCGAAGCGTTGCAGCAGGACCGCGGTCCAGCAGAGTCTTTGAGCTCTTTGCGTCTGCCAAATGGCTCGAATCTGCCTTCCATCTCTGCCAACGTGCATGCGCACCGGGCGATCCAGGAAGTAGAACCACTGCTTTTTGATCCTGCTAAAGCCCAGATGGTCGAGCGCGCTCGAACGTTGTCCAGCTATGCGCAGGCTGTGGATGTGGATGCAGTCGTCCAAATTCAAGCTGGCGAACTTCTTGCAGATCTCCAGGCGCTGCAGGTCGTATATCTGCAATCGAATCGATGATGATCGCGTTTCGCAGTAAAGGTACTCGTGCTCGTCTTTGAGAGTATGGCTTCGTTTTTTTTCTGACAGGTGTGCGCGGCCGAGCGATCGTTGCTAAGGACGTCTGCTGGTGGCGCATTCCCTGCTACAGCCACTGTGTAGCTTGGGGGCAATCAGCATGCTACAGCATAGTCAGCTGGCCGAAATACAACAGACTCAAGGTACAGCACTTGGCTGTAGTCTTGGCAAGGAGGGGTCTGCACTTGAGCATGAGTGTTTGCTTCAGGGGAGACGTCGTCTTCCTCGAAGAACAGGGGTGGTCGTGGCGTAGGTGGAAGAGAAAAAGGTGGGGATGGTCGCATCCTAATGTACAAATGCCTCAACTTGCAGGACAAGATGCGAGGCTGTTGTACAAAAGAGGTCGCAAATGTTGTACAAGGGTTGATTATGCCCAAAAAGAAGGGAAACGGAAAATGTCCTCCAGTACCTACCCAATCCTGTGCTTCTTGAGCCCGCATGAATGCTTCTGGCCCTGAGCGCCTTTACTCCATTCAACTTGAACAAGCTCGGCTCATACGCCCCGTACAACTGGCACACTGGTTGGTTTAGAGCTTTAGCCATGGGCCTTGTTCCTACCAGCCAGTGATTCGAAGCACAAGCCATCACCATCACCAAGGGCTCTGCGGCAATGGGTCCATCACTTGCCAGTGGGTAATGCTGGCGTAGTGATGTACCCCGCAGAGTCCTGTAGACAATGATGGCGATGCGATTGAATGCACTGGCAGCCAATGCTGCATGACTATTGCTTTGGAATCAGTTGCTGTCATCTTGCGCAGTGCCTGAGGACCAAAGCAGCTGTCCACGCTCTGGTCTTTGAGGCTCAAGGATCTCTGGATCAGGTTGTCACGGCGTGCGCGCGCGCCTACATGTAGACTCTGTGTACGCGTCACCTACCTTCTCAATCCCATGATCTTCCCCTTGCTCGACTTGACTCAGGTGTCAGGATTTGCATTGGCATGTCCACACATATTCAAGCGCATCTGTGAGGGAAAGGAGAGGCACATGATGAGCCAGCAGCAGCGGCACTCAAGGTAAGAGCACTCTGGCCCTCTTTGCACCAATTACAGAAGGTTTTCCTCTCTAGTGACCACACTTGCAACTGCTCTGAAACCTCAGTGACCACCTGGCTTGGTGTTGTGCAGCCAGTCACCCACTTGAGCTTCCCAGAGGGCAGCATCGCATGGGTGAGTTTCTTCCATATCTACAAGCCATTCTGTCAAAATTCATTTTTAAAGCTGGGTACTGCCGGCAAAGTCGGGGCCAATTTATTCTTAAGGCCAGCGATTTGTTTCTAGACTTAAATCGACTCTGTTGTCCAAATCGAGGACAAGCCTCGGCTCACCGAAACGATTGTCATTGCACAGTCGGTCGACCGTGTTTAGGTCTGCCAAAAGAAGGATTGCCCTGTACTGCCTGAGAGGTCGCCTTGGTCTCCGATACGTAGCTGACGACTTGCGTGCCCCCTTCGACACGCTACCGTTGTTGGGAAAAGGGCCAACGAACGAAGTGTTGGACTTGCTACCGGGGCCTCTTACGCGCTTCGGTTTAGTGCTTGCATGCCTTCAACAACGGATGGCCTGCCATCTTGACCTCTTGTCGAGAAACAGATAGACGATGACACGTTAGCATGCGAGCGGATCCGGTAAATTAAAGGAGAAAGGCGCGGCGATGAAATGCTATTTTCCCTTTCCCTTGCGCAGTCCGCATAGAATAATGAGACTTGTGAGCAGGAAATTTTTTTGCCATAACCAAATATACAACCAAGCTGAGCGGGGAGTGTCGATGGCATCATGGAACCGGGAAATCAGTGCGCGAAGGTGGCAAGACGCATACTGCAAGCACTCAAGCATTTCTACCATGACTCATAGCTCCTTGGCGTGACTCACGCTAAGAGTGATGACTATGTGTAGAGCAAAGTGCGATGTGGGCTGACAATTACTATTGACTTGCTTGTAGGAGTATGAATTACTGTCCTGCTGCAATTCTCGTCTCGATAGCATTCCCACTTGCACAATTCGTACGCTGTCAAAGGTCTGCCAGCGATCTCTACAAATCGTGCCCTCTCGAGCATCTCAACCTTTTTCTTTGAGGGCGTCTATTCACAACAACAGTCAGCAAAACCACCTCACTCTTCATCAACAGAATCGCAGAAAGACTCTGCCATGCAGCCTGCATATACCATCAGTAAACAGTGGACGACAGACAAAACAAGAAAGCGCAGTCACATGATTTAGCCTACCACACCTCGTACAGAGAGTCTCAACCTGATACCTCCACACCAAGAGGCCCATCCATTTCCTCGGATTAAGACTTGGGGCGACTACGCTAGCACGCTATACGTATTCTTGATCTCAGCCATACGCATGACGAAGCCGAGTCATGTAGATGGTGCGAGCCGAGATCAGGCTTGCACCGCCCCGTGACCAGGACACCTTTTTGAAAGAGAACACAGGCCCGTACAGTTTTATCATATGAGTATGACGCGGTGGTCATGCTTGACTTGCCCCGATAATAGATTTTGTGCTCGATTCAAAGCGCAACATGCCGCTGTGATTCCTGCAGAGCCAAAGTAATGGATGGCCTTGTCTCACCTGAACCCACATTTCGGATAGGGAACAATATCAGCGGATAGAGAGCGCAATAGGGGACAAATTGGCAACAACAATTGAGCCAATTTCGAAAATTACGCAAACCTAAACTTGCAGTAGAAAGGTGGCAGTCCTTCAACGAAACCAAGCAGTGGAGCGCGCAATTGAGGTAGCCACGGAAAAGCAAAATTTTTGGAGGAAGAATAACGAGCTTGCGTGGGCAAGTCTAGGTGTGACCAGGCACTGTCACGTACGCTTCTTGTACGTTTTCTCCGCAAACACTTGAGGTTTTCTCTGATTGAAACGCATGTGCGTCTTGTTGGTATCACGCACTGTCCAAATGAGTTTGGCAGAGGCGACAACTTCAATTTTTTTGTTAGCGAGGCAACTAGAATAATCAAGAACCGTGCATGCGCGATCTCGCCGTTCACGCGACTTGCATGCAAGGAATTACTGTTCTTAAGAAGGCTTGCACCGCATCTCAACGTGAAAAGTGAATTTTCAGCGTAACAGTGCTCGTGTTTGGTAAATGAAAGTATTGTCGTATTTTTTACACCAGCGGGAAATCGTGGAGACTCGTCTTCGCGTGGAGATGAAGCTACTGTCATGTGCCACCTAGGCTGCAGCCACGATGCACTGGTCAATTACACTTTCTCTTTGAGAGCGCTCGTCAAGTATTCTTCTCGAAAGATGTGAGCGTCTTCTGAACGTGGTATCTTCGAATTGTCGTGGAGTCGGAAATTGTGGTTCGCTCATCACGTGGAAATCACTGAAGCACATTGGGCATTAGCCTTATCCATTCCTGTTTCTACATTATTCTTACACTTTAAGACACTTCTAACGGTTGCAAGAACGCAGTCAGAGATATGACTTGCTGAACTCTTGAATAGGACCTTAAGATTCGCAAGCTTGATCAGTTCCGACTTGCTGGGAGCAAATTGCTGCTCAATGCCAAGCTTGGCGCAGGTTGAGCTTCTCATTGCTTGGACTTACCAAACATCAATGAGGTCGGCGGTCTGTGTGACATCGGCAGGAGTTGGCGGGTGTTGGCAGAGAATTGCCCCAACATACGCCTCTAGCAAGCGTATCTCCGTCTTCAGAGAAGCCACGCGCGTTGTCCGTCCGGCTACGCTGCGATAGAGCCCTGCGAAAGGAAATTGTGGTTAAACCTGCTACAAAGCTGATCAACACGTTTTTCCGATCGCTAGATTACTGAGTTGGTCTTTGCTTGGGACCGCTTTTTCTCAAAACGCCTGCAGGCCCTCTCTCGGGACAGTCAAACAAATAGCTCATTGCAGCAACAGACTCAATACGGCTGATCGTGCTGCAACTGTACAGTTTGCATCCCTGGTACTCAATGGACGACGTGAAAAAGAAAGGGGGAAAAAAGCACCATGGAGAGTCAATGAATCTCAAAATTTCGCGATATTGTTGTCGTACCGCATCCACGACTTAGCCTTCTCGCAGAGATACAAGGAAAGCGTATACCTATTGTGGATTGGCCTCGCGCGTATCAAGGGCTTCAGCCCAGCCGAGTCGATAGCTTGATTTGCAAAAGAAGGTGAGAGGAAGTCAAATTGCTCGTGTTCCAATTCGGCTTGTCTTCGCAGCTTTAGTGATGTTACAGACACTTCCAGTGCGAAGCGTCATTCCTTCGCGCTTTCGTGACACTTTCCATTTTCGTGCAGGCAGGGCGGCATCCAGTCGTGAGTGCATCAAGACGGTGGCCTTTGTCAAGGCCCAGTAGCCACAGCTTTAACATCTTTTCTGGTTCCGAGCAGAGCGAGAAACGCCGTCCACAAGGGGCAGGGCAGCAAATTCCGAGTATTCGCAACAATATCATGCTTGCCCTCTCAGGGTGCATCCATGCAGGTGGTGTTGATAGCATCTGAATGAAGCTGAGCTTTCTCGCAGTGCATGACGGAGCGATCGACAAATTTTGGACATGCTATACTCGATTCACAGCTTGCCATCTGACGTGTTGCTTTCACATTGCGGACGATGCTGAGGGTCAAAGACTCCAAGCACTTTCATTCGGCCTCCCGGCCTGTAGATGTAGTCGGATGTGCCGCGATGGTCGTCTTTGAGGTAAATACTTGACCCCACGGGTCATCCGAGTCCATCACAAATGGTGAATAGAGCTTAGGCGAGTCCATCACAAATGGTGAATAGAGCTTAGGGCGGCGAGTTGTGTGCGTGGCTGACTGACGGACTCGCCCATGAGAGCAGGGTCACAACAGCTGTGAGTAGGATCAAGCGGAACACATCACCGCCTAAGATTCTGTGTCTACGTCTTGGAGGCAGCAGGCTATTCCATCCGATCGTGGGTCTTGTGATGCTGCCTCTGACCATTGCCTCTCCAGTGACTCCATCCTTTGGATGAGGTTGGAGGAGCTGAGACTGGGACTCTCTTAAGGGAAGTACCGGGCTACACGCTCTCTGAATTCGTTGCCTTGCGCCTTATCCGCCAGCCGAGCGTTATCCTGAATAAGATCGCGCGTACTCCAGCATCGACCCTCAGCTTGACTTCCATGTGTGTTTAATCCGCGCTTCGGCCCAGGCAGTCGCTATCCCAGTGTCTGCCAGGTCTCTTCTGAGCTTCCACAAGCTGTTTTGAGATTGGGTCAGAGTCTGACCTCTCCAAGGTCTGAATGCAGACCCTGAGCTTGCTCTCTCCGAACCGCAGGACATTCTTGAAGCAATTGTCAAAATACTGTGACATTCCATGTGAGCTGTCGGACACGTCACCCACCAGTCGCGATTAAAATCAAACACGCACCGGACACGAGAACGACTAAGTCTCGGAGAGATCTGGACATAGCGCTTTTTGTACGACTTTCGCATCGCCAGTGTGCAAGACAACATTTCGCTAGCTGAGCACTCGGAAAGTCGGAAAGCTTGCAGCCAGCGAGCTCAGACGGCCTTCACGCACGACCGAAGGGCGGTCGCGTACAGTCCCGCCGCTGACATGCAGATCTCTGACCGCACGCATGGAAGACAGCAGCGCTAGTCGTCGTGTGGCTTGGCGAACGTGTGTAATCTGGCCTTTGCTGCATGTCATGCATCACTGCTCCATGTGATCTGCAATTTGCAAACTGAAACAGCGCCCAAGACCGCGTGGTGCACTTCCCACCAGCATATAGTGTTTGACCACTCGCTCGGAAAGCTTAGGATGTTGTACAGCAGGAGATTCTCTGCCTCACTAACGACCTTGACGCCATTCTTAATCGCGAGGCAGCGCCGCTGCAGCGACCGCGTGGTCGGCCAATCGCACACATACCATGCGCCAAATACGTTGTGTGGTCTTTTGAGACGCCGACGATACAAGATAGCAGATGCTGAGTTCTGAGGAAAGCCCAAGAGCCTGGCTAGCGCGGCGCTCTAGCCGAGCAGTCAGACAGCCAGCTATGTGCGAGAGTCCAGCTGCTGAGTCGTTCCACCGCTATAAAATATGAGTGGATGATATTGCGTCTGACCGCCCCCTCCGCTTCTGGCCTTCCTGCTGCTACCCGTGCACGTCGCTCTGCTAGACTCACACTTGTCGGCCTCACCATGAGTCAACCTGGTCAGTATCTCATCCTTCCCGAGCTTGGCGACCAGCGCCAAGCTTCCACCGTCATTCAATTTCTCGTCCTTGGTTTTTGGAGCTGGGAGCTGATCACCGTGAGTGTGGGTTAGGTGTGCGGGTTCCAGCCATTTCTGTCGGTCGCTTACAGTCATTAAGCCAATTGATTGCGACGGCAGACTTCAGGCTGGGAAGTCGGACAATGGCAAAAGTCAAGTCGCAAGTGGTCCCTTTGGCTCTTCACTTTTGGTCGCTATTACGGCTTGGTGGGGCAGATCGCGGCATGCGTAATCAACGTCCTGCCCGGCGTGACCACGGCGTACTGCTCCAAGTATCAAGCGCTTTTGCCACTGATTGACGCTATCGGATATGCCATCGTCATGCCCCTCATGATGGTCCGTACATGGGCGATTTGCAACAAGAATCGCTTTGTGGGGGTCCTGCTTGCCGTCAGCTGGCTGGCTTCTCTGGCGCTGTCTCTGTACGCGGCACAGTTCTACATCGGAACGCCTTTTGCAAACGTACCCGGCCTGGGACCTATTGGCGGCTGCACGAATGCTATTGCTAACTTCTGGCCTACCTGTGAGTGCAAGTTAATGCAGGCGCATCCAATGATCTACAAGTACAGCTCACGTCCGGTGAATCGACTTGTCCGCAACCTAGCCATGTTCATCGCGTGGGGCACGGTCGACGTGATGTGCTTTGTGCTGGCTGGTGGTCAGATCCTGCTACTGTGGAGGCGTACTGGGTTTAGATCCTCCTTGCAACAAGCCCTCTTTAGAGAGGGTCTGCAATACTTCATCACCGTGATGTCGATCAACGTCATCAACATTGCCTTCACAGTGACGAACACTTTGCCACCATTCATTCGGCCAGCTATGGCCCAGCCAGCAGCTGTCGCAACATGTGAGTGAGGTGAAGGTGCTGTCGAGAGTGCTGTCACGCATCATGCTGAAATCGTTGCCCTTTCTCAGTGGTTGGAACGTCGCGCTTGTACATGGCGCTCCTCAACTTGGGCAGTCAGGGCTATGCCGCCGGCTCCACTTCCAGCAGGGATCAAGTGCAAGCGAAGGCCAACCATGCGGCGGCAAAGGAGGGATTGCTAGCTCCCGCTGCGATCCAATTCGAAGTGGAAGGCTGGACGCGCCAAGCTGCGCCCGACCTGGAGAGCAGATCGCACCGCATCCGCAACTTCTCCCACACGGTACCCGCTGCGAGCCCACCACCTACCCCTATCGTGCACCTGACGAGGATGGCCCGGCCTGCGTTTCCAAGGGGAGGCAGCGTGGATACGCAGAGCACGCGCTTTGAGCACTCGACGCCAACCCTGAAGGGCAGTCAGAATGTTGACTACTACGGCTGGATCCGCGAAGATTCAAGCGAAAAGTCGGCCCCGCGCTGAGTGCTACGGGCAGGTAGGTGCCGCCATTTTCATCTGATACCTCACTCGTCGGAGCCGTGTTTCGCGTACATGACTGTCCCGTCATTCTGATTGTTTTTGACACCTTTGCATCGCTTCTGCCGCCGATGTTCAATGCGCACCAGAGTGCTTCGCTTTCCGTCCGTCACCGTCAACGATTCTCACGTCTTGTAGATCATTCTTGATTCAGGTTGATGGCTTCATCGCTCTTGCAATTGCAATCTGGGCTTATTTTGAGGAAGATGCTGTCGTTCAGATTCGAATTGTGATTGTGTATGAGGCTTATTGGGCGAGGCGACGAGAGCGATAAGATTTCAATCGAAGACTCAACCCTTCCTTCACACATGGCTCCGGCTGTATTCACGTGATTCTTGATTCAAGGCCGCGTGAGAGGAGTGGTGCGACGTCGCGTTGGATCGTCCGCATGAAGAGGGCGGCCGTGCAGCCATGGGATCTGTGCACAGCGCATTGCCTGTGCTGGTCATGAGTGCTGAGATGCGCGCTGCGCCCACTCCGATCTGGACGCAATCACAAGAATCGAATCTGAAGGTGAATTTACGATTACAATCAAATTAGAATAACGATGATGAGCTCGCGCGTGCATCCTGTTCTTCCTCCTGCAACTCAAGACTCACGCACGACTCACATCGATCACACCTCGGCATCGCGCTTGATTCAGCGACGCGACCTCCCATCTGTCCTCCTCGCACTCGCTACACCACCGCTTGGCGTAACCTTTCGTAGGCGGCGATTCACCTCAGCTCAGCCGGAGCGCGGATAGAGTTCAGAGTTCCGCGTCAAGTGGCTGCCTATGCCCAAGCGTCCACACCCTCACAACCACTCGTGACTGTCAGTCGCACCCAAACCTCTGTGCCACCGCTTATTTGACGCTCGCATGCCCCACCATTGCGGCGCACGATGGATCTGCTGACGCAGGTGCTGTTGGCGCTGGTCGTCGTCCTCAGCATCGCCTTGTTCACTCGAACCGCAGCCTCGTCTTTTCCCCATCGCAATGACTCCATCGCCTCATTGCCAGGCGCTTCGGCCAGCAAGAACAAGAAGCGCCGAAAGAAGCAGCAGTCGGCGCCCTCAGTTGAAGGGCCTAGCGCGGAGAACAAGTCAGTAGCTAATCAGGTTCCTGCCACTACGACTGCGGCAACCGTATCCGCACCAGAGACTCCCAAGCGTGGTTGGGGACCTGCCGCGCACGCAAGTCGCATGGCAGAAGAGGAGGATCGAAAGAAGGAAAAGCAGCGGCAAAAGCAAATGAAGCAAAGCGAGAAACAGAAAGCAGCAGCAGCAGCAGCAGCAGCAGCAGGATTGTCGGATGGGGCTGCAAGCTACAGCAATGTCGCAGCCGAGCAGCCGAGCAGCGACGCCGTCACGGTCGACTCGTCCAAAGAAAAGGGCCATCGTCCTGATGCCGGGGTTACGCCAGCCTCAAAGCAATCGGGGCAGACTGCGACGGGAAGCAATGAAGCCGTCGTTGACAAAGCAGCTGCGCTCTCTGCCTCTGCGCAAACGATCGAGACTACTTCCACACAGACACGTGAAGGCAAGGCCGTTGCAGATCTTGATCGTGAGTCGAGTAATCTTCGTATGCTGCAAATAGCTTGGCTCGCATCCGCATCGTGTGCAGTTGATCTGATGGCTTCTTTGCTGTCCAATCGCTACGTATAGCGCCCTCTTCGTCACAATTCTTGAGTCCCAATACACGAGCATGGGAATCGGTGAGCGGCAAACGAGGTGAGCATCAGTCGGACGTACAGGCGACACGCTTCCGCACGAGGCCACAGCACAGACACCTTACATCTCGGCTGGGCGAGTCTCGTACTGATTCATCCTTCCTTAACTTGCTTTTTTGCTGATCCACGCAGTGGCTGCCAGACCAACATCTTCATCAGCGTCTTCTGCTGGAGCCGATACAAGTGGCGTGCCGGATAATGCGTGGGCAAAGAGCAACCCTTTTGCGGCCTTGCCGGATGCTGACGAGTCGAGTGGCAGGCCGAAAGCCTCCGCAGCGTTTACTGGCAGGCTCGCCACATCGAGTGCTGCCAGCAAGTCGGCCAACAAGTCTACACTGGGCGCGATCACCGGATCAGCGGGTGCAGTCTACAGACCAGGCTCTAATGGAACAGCCAGTCGTTCCGCTGCTGCAATCAGCGATCAGACCAAAAGTCAAAAGCAGATGCGCAAAAAGGCCGAGGCAGCCAAAGCGGCGAAGCAAGATCAGGAGCAGGAAAGGCTGGCAAGGCTGGCCGAGCATCGGCGGGAGCAGGAGAGGGAGAGAATGAGACAGCAGGACAAGGCCAGAAGCAATAAGGCGGCCAGACAAGGAAACGGCGCTGCTGTCAGCTCCAAACAGCCGCAAAGCAAAGCTAGTGTCAACTCGAACGGCATGCTGGTGTGGGATTAAAGGCGCGGACAGCCGTCGTCCAAGGGATCGCTACACTACTACAGCTGCCCAGAGCCGCAAAGAAAGTCACCAAGAACAAAGTCGACTTACGGGTTTTCCTGATGTCGCTAGGCCCTCAGTAGTCTTCAGAAGCACGATGGGGCTTGATCGGCCCCGCATGAGTATACGCACTTACAGTACAAATCGGACAATATCATTCAATCTGTCATTCACAGGAGCTGGAAGCTGTGTTCGTGAAGAACCATTTGCGGCTCGTCTTGCCCAGAATGTCTTGATCACGTGGGCTTGTATCCCCACCAGACGGCGACAACATGCTTGAGGCGCGCAACACCATCCGGATACTTTTCGTGGACCATGCGAATAGCCTCGTCTCTTACTTGGGATCTTTGATCCTCATTGAGTAAAGGTAAAAATGCGGCGCGCATGCCGGGATTGGCAAAGAGGTCGGATGTCTATTGCATTCGCGGAGCGCAGGGGCGGGCAAGGGGCAGATCGTCAGATGCGATGACCAAAGAAACAACCTGGATTCGCGACGTTTGACCTACGAATTTGACAATGTCAGAGCAGGTGTAGTAGTCTTCTGAAAACGCGTGCTGGATGCTATCCTTATGTAGGCCTGCGCGCTCCAGCCGACCCTTGACGGCTTCCACGTCCCTGAAAGCGGCGAGCATGGGCAGATCTTGCATCTTTGGTGAACCTTTGGACAAGAAGCCGAGCGTTTGCAGCGGCTCGTTGAAGAAGTCCCAGCCCTTGGGGACGCAAGCGTGCGTCGAGCCGTCAGCGTGTGAGAACCCGAGCGGCGCATCGAGGAAAACCCGAGCTCACCTGAATGTCGTACGGTTGAGCGTAAAGGGCCAAACCTCCTGCTTTGAGCACCCTCACGCTCTCGGCCATCGCCTTGTCCGGGTCCGGAACCAGACCGGGACCCATGATCATCGTATCGACGTCAAAGTGATTGTCAGGGTAGGGCACATTCTTGATCGTTTATGGATGCGAGCGCGTCAGCATATGAATCTCTCGTTGCGTGCTGCAAAGAGACCGGGGGGAGGCAGAACGCACCATGACGTCGACGATGCCGAAATCGACCATTTGCTCGACTTGATCAAAGTGCTTGACCTTTGCTTTGGCGCTGTCCACCATACCTTGCGCAAAGTCCGTGGCTACGATTTGCAATTTGCCGTTCCGAGCGAGAGTGCGGCCCTTGCCCTCGGCATAATGCTCCAGCAAAGCGGTCAGTTCGGCACCCGTGCCGCACATGGAGTCGTGCAGCTTGAAAGGGGCAACGCGAGCCTCGTTGGTGTCGAGGTTGTAGCTTAGCAGCTGATCGATGAGGGGTAGAAAGTGGTCGATGAATGCGCGACGAATCATACCCTGGGTAGGGGCTTCGGAGGTAGCATTGGGCCTGGAAGAGTCGGGGTGCGATCTCGTGTCATAGTTGACGCTGTGAGAGGACCAATCGGATGCGCTTGGAGTGTTTAGTGCGGACATACTTGCTGATATGCAAGCGTGCGAGTGAGCGGGCAGGGAGATGGGTGAGTGGAGTGGTGTGAGGCCTGTAGAGATGCAAGAGGCTGAGTGAGGAGTGCAGTGATGGATGAGGGAGGGTGGAGGAGAGAGCAGGTGTAGTTGAAGTTGCTCTTCTTACGCTTTGCCGTGGCACTCAACCGTGTCCATTCAATATCGTGAGTCTGAGCGTCGCAAACAGCAGACACCACGTCGCGGGCCCATCAGAGGCACGTTGGCGCTCGCTCGAGCTAGAGCTACAGTTTCGAGTGACGTATGCTGATGCTTGGCTGACCAGCCATGAGACTTCTCTCTGTCGTGTCGAGTCACGATCTTCAATCGTGAATCACGTGAATTCTGAATCTGAATCGTGAATCAAGACTCATCAGACCCACCACAGACTCGTAACTGATGCGGTGTCAGCGTCAGCATCACCATGCAGGTCAGGTGGTCCATGCACTCACACTCACACTCACGAACTCAAAACTCAAGACTCGCTTGTTTGCCTGTGTTGCTTGCCCCAAGGCGTCAGTCACCGCGAGCCGGGCGAGACTCGTGCCGTGACTCATGACTGGATCAGCACTTGACTCACACTTGACTCACACTCAAAGTCAAAGTGTGACTCACACTCGCGAGTCGCGACTCTTGACTCTTTTGCCTCTCCATGCCGCCCTACCCCGCAAGCCGCAACACCTCCACGGTACCGGAAAGTCAAAAGTGCAACCAACACGCCGAAACGGCCGAGCGTATGGCAAATCTTGAAACACGTCTTGATGAATTCAATTCAGATTGTGAATCAAAAATAAAAAATGGCCATACCTTCACGTGATGTGGCTCGCCTGAAATTTGCATGCGTAATCGTGATCGTGATATATCGGTCCACGCAGCAAGCAGCCTTCTCGCGCGAAAGGCCGCGCATTCTTGATTCTTGATTGTTGATTGTTGATTTTTTCCATCAGGTGTATGAATAGTGTAAAGGATGATTTCAAGATGTTCAAATTTCACATTTCACAATTTTCGAATCCAGCTTTGCGCCAAAAAGGCAAATAAATCCGCACCACCCTCAAATTGTGCGCTCAGCCTTCTCTCCCGGGTGCCTTCTCGCACACCAACCACCTGGACCCAGACTGCCTTTCGTAATTGCCTACGATCTGCGCGATTGAATTTGAATCGCCACGACGTCCACTGTTGGTCGACGGCACGAGTAGCCACCCAGACTGGATCGGTTGCACCTCGCACACAACCACCGCACCATCCAGTGAAAGCAAGCGGCAGCATCTTGCTATCGTCCACACTCGCCAGTCAGAGATAGTGCTCACATACTAGCGCACACGCGCTGGTCACTCGAGGCCACGCCATGTCCAGCAGAGTGGAAGAAGATGAGGCCGGGAGCAGCGCAGCTGGACAAGCTCAAGCTCCTGTGAGCAAGAGCAAGCGCCATCGCAAGGTGAGTTGCGATAGCTGCTAGCGCGAGGTCAAGCGCTGCAAAGGTATGCGCGAATGATTTGCTGACCAGCATTCATGCCCTCTCATCTACGCAGGAGAAGCCGTGGGACACTGTAGATAATCACTGGGAGATTCCAAGGTGGAGCGCCGGGGAGATGGCTGGTCCCATGACCGAAGAGAGCTCGTGAGCAGGAGGCTTGCGTGTCAATCAATGCTGTGCACCCGCATACTCACGCCTCCCTTCACTCGATGCGCCATCCTCAGCTTCTCCACCCTCTTTCCCAAATATGTGGAGAGGAGATTGCGCGAGAGCTGGAGCGCCGTTACCAGCGCTCTGGATAAACATGTGAGTTCAGCGCCAGCATAGCATCGCGTTGCATTGCGCGACCCACGTCGGCCGTTGTACCCAACTCACGTCTCTCTCTCTCTCTCTCTCTCGCTCGCTCCACCACACAGGGTCTCAAAGCGACGCTGGATTTGGTGGAAGGCAGCATGACGGTCAAAACGACTAGAAAGACGCACGACCCTTACATCATCTTGAAGGCCAGAGACTTGATCAAGCTTCTCAGCAGAAGCGTACCATTCACCCAGGTGAGCGGTGGCCCAAGACGCGTGACGCATGCGTACATTGAGCTCATCCTGTGACATTTTGAGCAGGCGGTCAAGATCCTCGAAGATGGTGTTACATGCGACATCATCAAGATTGGTAATCTTGTGCGAAACAAGGAGAGATTTGTCAAGCGTCGGCAGCGTATCATTGGACCGAATGGGAGCACTCTCAAGGTGAGTCAGAGGCGATGGCTGGTGTGGTAGGTATTGAAGCCTGCTCAGCTCGTCTAACGGTGTCGCCACTCGCAACCGCATCTAGGCGATCGAGCTCCTGACCGGCTGCTACGTGCTGGTACAAGGAAATACGGTCAGCGCCATGGGTCCCTACAAGAATCTGAAAGAGGTCAGGAGGATTGTGGAAGACTGCATGAAGAATATTCATCCCATCTATCACATCAAGGTGAGCAAATTGTGCATCCAGGCTGAATAAGTAGAGCCATGCGTGCTGAGGCTCGCCTCTTTGCTTGGTAGGAAATGATGATCAAACGTGAGCTGGCGAAGGATCCAAAGCTTGCCAACGAGTCGTGGGACCGCTTCTTGCCAAAATTCAAGAAGCGCAATGTCAAGGCTAAGAAGCCGAGCGAGGCGCAAGGTGCAGCGCCCGTCGCCGAGGCGGATCATATGGAAGCCGGCCAGCCATCAGGCAGCGCATCTGCAGCATCCACATCAGCCGCAGCAGCATCAGCAGCAGCAGCGACAAAGCCAAAGAAGAAGGTCTACACACCCTTCCCTCCCGCACCGCAGCCGAGCAAGATCGATTTGCAGATCGAGTCTGGAGAGTACTTCCTCAAGCCGCACGAGAAGCAGCGCAAAGAGAGGTTGGAAAAGGAGGCGAAGCAGGCGGAGAGCAAAAAGAAGCGGGAAAAGGAGAGGGAAAAGGCGTTTGTTGCACCGGCTGAGGAGGAGAGGGTGCAGCAGAGCGAGAAGAAGAAGAGCAAAAAGAGAAAGGATGAGAGCGAGGAGGAGAGGCGGGTGAGAAAGGAGAACAAGAGGTTGCGCAAGTTGGAAGGTGACTAGACCAGAGGGCCCAGATGTGCCAGTCGCTCTGTTTTAGCAGTTTTCCCAACAGTGCCTGGCGTTGCTTTTTGGCCTCCTGGTCAGCTACCCATCAGGCTCATGCTAATAACACTACCACGCCAGTCGCGGCCAATGTGCGCACCGAATTTGTCATCGTCTCGATTCTTCCGCGCTGAATCACGTCTGCGGGGTATCTGATAAGTGTAGGCGTCGCTTCGTGGGTCAAGCGAGCAGCTCTGGACGGGATGTTGCGCATTCCAACCTGCGTGACTAACGGGCACGTTAGCCTCGATGAGCCGCCGCGCTGGTATGAGTATTCACGCCGCGCCCTTTGAGCGCCGAGGTGGAGGCTCAGGTGTGGGCTATCCTGACGTCCATTGGCAGCCCAACAAAATAGCGGTAAGCTTATGTAGAGGCTACACGTATATAGCTGGCCGGTTCCCACGAGTACCGACGATTCGCGACGTTTTGACAGTCCGGCAGGATGGCTGGGAGGCAACATGGCCGGGCGACTCTCCTCTCCTCTCCTCTCCTCTCCTCTCAAAGCTACGGAACATCTGAGTCCTTGCTGTCTTGATGTTCGACTGCATGCGTGCGGGTGCTGGTGCGGGTGCGGGCGCGCATGCTGATGCCCCCAGCTTCGTCGAGGGCGAGAGAGCAAAGCAGCCGACGTGGTGATGCATGGATGCCAAGACCTGCCTGCACGCACGCGACGCGCGAGCCTCCTCCCTGCTGCATGGAGAGGAGGAAGATGATTTGAATGAAGGGAATCACGATTGTAATGGGATGAAGAAATCACCTTTTTTTCGAATCGCAAGATTTGCTTTCTTTCGGGTCATGCATGGCAGAAGCTATAGGTATATAGACGACACCGCCACACGCCATTCAGCTGGGTTGCTTGCGTTTCCGTAAGCGTCGCGCGAGAGGAATCACCAAATTGGACCGCGACTGCGACTGGGCGCAGGTTGAGTGACGCAGCTGCTGCTGTAGCATTCAAGAGTCAAAGTGAGAGTCACGAGTCAGCTTTCTGCTCATTCACGATTGTGATTCTGATTCGGTACAGACAGACAAACAAGCCCTTTTGTTGGGGATCAAGTCAGAGTCAGAGCCACATCATGACTCAGGACCGAACCATGATCCGGATTCCCATCATCTTGATGCAACCAATCAGCGGCTTTACCACAACCCCTGCCCCTTGCCCCGACTCGAATCAGCTCACTCTGACTCTTGACCATACACTCACACTCGGACCCTCGCTGCATCGCCGATCGCTGAAGCAATCAACGCGAGGCCAACGACACTCGTGAGCTGAATCCCATCAGGCCCACCATCCAATCAGCTTTTGCGTGGGTGGGGCGGGCACTTTGACTATCATTTTAGAAAGGCAAGAACAATCATCCATCTATATGCTATCCTCTTGCACCTCTTTGGACACGCAAAGCCATCCCTGCAACACACAAGAAGAGTATCCGCTCACACCAAGCGCGCCTGGGACATATTCCAGCACAGCAAGTCAGACTTCGAGCGCGCGCTCTCACTCCAGGCCACGCGGTGAAATGGATCAGCACACCGCACCATCGGGAGTGAAGGGCTCCACTTCCACCGCGGGCTACACCAATGGCGCTGCCAATGCAGCCGCAAGCGGCAATCACCGTGCTCAGACGCCTTCGATGCACCCTCCTGCTGCTGCTGCTGCAGGTGGAGGTGACAGACGAGGATACTTGGACCCAATTACAGGACAGGTCAGGGCTTGGTACAGGGAGAACAGCTGGACAAAGAGCAGGACGAAGATGGACAAGGAGAGGAAGATTCAAGTGAGTGCTGGGCGAAAACAAGCATGGAGCATTTGCATGCGCGTTCGTGTTCAGTCGCACATGGGGCCATCGTCGCATCTCATCTCATCTCATCTCATCTCATCTCATCTCATCTCATCTCATCTCATCTCATCTCATCTCATCTCGCTGCTCCAATCCACTGCCCCCCATCCCCAGATACTCATCTCGTACTTGCCAGATTGGATCATCACCATCCTCCTCGCTCTGCTCTTGGCGCTCATCAATGATGTGCACGGCTTTCGAAGGGAATTCAGCTTGGACGATACCAGCATACAGCACACGTACGCACAGGTAGAGAGGGTATCCACCCCCATGCTCGTCGTCTACTCTTTCGTCATTCCAGGTGAGTCGCAGCGAGCGCGTGCTCGCTCTGCGCATTCTCCACACGGGTTTGCTCATTCGCGCAAATGCTCGCCAATCCCCCCCTTCCCCTCCAGTCATCCTCATTGCCGCGTTCTCCCTCGTCATCAATCGTAGCGCTTGGGATTGCCATGCTAGTCTGCTCGGACTCGTCCAGACTCAAGCACTGCAGATCACCGTCGTCACCATCATCAAAGTCTGCGCAGGTAGACCTAGACCGGATCTGATCGATCGCTGTCAACCTCGAGCTGGCAGCAGCAATGCCCCAGTGTACGGTCTAGTGACCGATTCCATCTGTACAGTCGACGTCTCTTCTCACATCATCACCGACGGCTTCCGATCCTTTCCATCCGGTCACTCCTCGACGGCTTTTGCAGGTTTGACGTACCTCAGCCTCTACCTAGCCGCAAAGTTGCACCTCTTCAGTTCCAAAAAGGGCATAGCAGCTAGCGCTTGGATCGTGCTCGCTCCCATGCTCGGTGCCGCGCTGATAGCAGTGAGCCGAACCATGGATTACAGGCATCACGCTACGGACATTATTGCAGGTGGAATCATTGGCGTCTTGATCTGTATGGGAACGTACTTTAGGTACTACCCAAACTTGACCAATGCGCAGTGTCATCGACCCTTTGCACCTCGCGTACCCAACTTGATGCCGCAGCATCGCCACGCTGCAGCAGACGGTGCTGCTGAACGTCATGAGCAAGAGGCTCATGGATATCGATCTGCGGATCATTCTGGAGACTTTGCGGATGAAGTCGAGGAGGAGGAGGAGGAGAATGTGCAGAGACGATATCAATCAGGAGGTCGCGATCAGCATGATCGGGCTTTGCTACAGGCGTGAGGGGTGCCGTTGCATGTAATGCTCAGCCCTTTGGTCAGAGGCTCGAACCGCCTCTACGCCTCTTGCACGCGAGTTTCCCCTCCCCACCCCCGCGCGCATCCAGAGGCACGCTCCCAATCTCCTGGCGATGATGGATAAGCAGCCTGCTGCATTTTACCTATACCGCTAATCTAATACGAATCTACAACGAATGCAACACGTAGCGTGCGTCCTTCATGCGTGCCTTTCTTCGTGCGAGCCGAGGGATCGGAATTCGAAACCTCTTCTCAACCTCGCGCACTCGAGGAAATGGAGGAACGATGCGTCGCCAGTAACGTGCAATTCGTGAGCGCCCTCCTAATCCCCAAAAGCATAACGCGTACAAAAGTTTTTCCAAAGCAACAGAGTCCAGAGAGGTTGGAGGAAGGCGCAAAGTGACAAGATGAAGAGTAGTGTACGGATTCAGTCGAACAAGCCCCTCACAGGACCCGTGACGAGTCCCACTGCATTCTTTGCCGCCTTTTCCACATCCTTCCACACCTCTTCCACGCTCCTATCCGCATTCACCGTCATCCAATCGCCCACCCTATCCTCCACATCTTCGAACACGCTCTTCACTTTGAGCTGCATCTCCCGATCCTCGTACCTCTCTGCTCCGTACCCGCCGCGCTCCGCAGCCGCGCTCGGAGAAATCGTCAAAAAGATGGTCAGATCGGGAGCGGGCAAGGTGGCGTCCGGAGCGAGACACCAGTCGAATGGTAGGCCCTGCGGAGAGTGGTGTTCAAAGGAGGGGAAAGATCGTTGCAAGTGCAGGATGAGTAGCAGGAACAGGACTACACGATTCTTGTCGCATCATCGCGACGAGGAAGCTACGACGCACCTTTGCTGTAGAGTAAGCTATGCCCGAAAAGGCGTACCGATCGCAAATGACCGTTTTTCCCGCTTCCAAGTCCTGGCGGATGCTCGGGCTGAGAGTCACGGCAGATGTCAACCGCGAGAGCGCACGCAAGCGGTAGGTAGGGCACTTTGGTCAGTCGCGAGTTTTGCGGTGGCCAATCTCAAAGAGGCCAGTGCAGAATGTGTCTGCATCTCATGTATCCCGCCTCCTCCTTCCCACCTTTTCTCTGTCCAACTCACGCGAGCTCCCATCGATTGGCACTGAAGAGCAGATGAACTGCTCGATCGTCCAATTCTGATTTTTGCGTCAGGTAGGAATCCAGCATGCGTCCAATAGGCGTTGTGCGGTCTTCGTGGGCAGAGGAATGATGTATCGCAGAGCGCAGATGGCAGCAGTGAGGATGTCGAAAGAAGGAGGATCGCGTCAGCAGAGCACAAGGGATCGATGGACCCTATTTCCCTCGCAATTGCAAAGCAAGCGAGAAGTTGGTGCAATGCCTGCCTGCCCTCCCTTGTCCGCGCTCACCTGGAAATTTGACAAGTCTTGCGTCGAGAGCCTTGACAAGTCTTTCCACCTGTGTGCTCTTGCCCGCCCTGTCCAAGCCTTCGACGACGATCAGTGCACCCCTCTTGCTATCATCCACCTGGTTTGCCTCCTCTTTTCTAGCACCGCCACGAGCAAATCCACCATCGCTAGACGCAGAGACGGCGCCCCGACTGGGTGGTCTAAAACTAGCCAACGTCTCTGCGCTCCTCATGCTCTCGTTGCTGTTCCTCCTCGAAGGCGCGTCGTCCGTCGCATCTGGTGGTTCGCTAACTCCTCCAAGACTGGGTGCAGGACTAGCTGTTCCAACAGTCGCAGCTGTGCTGCCCGCCCGTCTAGCATTCACATTACCATCGCGAAGCGCTGCCAATCCGGGATTGAAGATGGGTCGATGACTGGCGTGCAATCCTCCCACTCCAACTTCACCACCCGCAATCTCCCTCTCTCTCATCCTCAGCGCTTCGATCGACGCTTCGTCCCTGCTTCCCATCCCTGCATGCACGCTGCTAGAGTGAACCGGCGTACCGATGGACACGGCCCGCGAAGCGCTCTCTGCTCCTCCGCCCGTGCCAGAGGAACCTAGCGGTGCATCTTGACCACCCTCAGAAGAAGCGCTACCATACTCGCTGGGCGCTTGACTGACGAGCGCTCCCAAGGCGCTTCTATTTCTGAGGTTCAATCCTCCAAGTCCCACGTGGCCGCCTGGTCCGGGTGGAAAGCTAGGAGTTCCAGGAGGGGAGATGCCCAAAGAAGGGATGGGAGAGACGGGCCTAGAGTTGCTTCCTGCCGTTGCTCCGCTGATGCTAGCGCTAGTGGCCAGACTAGAACGACGCAGCAAATTTTCGCCGGGAACAGCACCAGCGATGCTGCTGGTGCCCTGTCCCAACGCATGCACGCTATTGTTGGAAGAGGTGACCGTAGGAAGCGCAATGTTTGGAGCTAGCTCAAAAGCTGGAGAGAGAGGCTCCGCATCTTCGACCGATCCGCTGCTGAAGGGATGCACCGCTTCGGTATCCAACACCTCGGGCTTGGGCGAGCCTGGAGCTTGCACAGCCACGCTGAAGACGGAAGCTGCTGGTGAAGGTGGTCTGAACTTTGAAGTGCGAGGGTCCAACTCGGGCGGAACACCGGCTATAGGCGAGCGTGGCAGCAGCGTCGAGCATGAGTGTGCGCGCTAGACGATGGGGAATGAAAAAGCGCGTGCCCGTTGAAGCGCAACCGACGCCTTTGCGACTCACCTACGGGAGCACCGCCTTCGCCGTAATGCCCAACGTATGCCCTTTCATCCCTATCCGCATCGCCAGCGCCCGCTTCGCTTCCCAAGGGCGTTCCATCGCTGAGAGGTGCATCGTGAGCGCTGCTGCTTCTAAAGTTGGCATTGATGGTGCCTCTCCTATCGAAACGTTCCCTCTCCCTGCTCCTCTCCGGACTGGAAGCATCCCCATCTGGAAGCTTTTGCAGACGAGAGTCGCCGACGGCATCTTGATGCTCTGCTCGCTCTTGCTCTCGCTCTCGCTGCTCATGCTCATCGTGATGGTCGTGATGATGAGCATCGTCCACACCCTCGTTTGGCAGACGTATGCCAGGTGCAACCTCATCAGCGTCTGGGATTCTGCCCAAATTTCGCGCAGTCAAACTAGCGGGTTGTCGATGCATGTTCTCCAGATTGAGCTGATGAGAAGAGGAAGAGTAGTGTTGAAGGGGATGGGAGGAAGAAGCTCCTCCGGTGACCACGCGCGTCGAATCGTCTGTGAGCGCTAGACTGCCGGCTATGGAGGGAGGTCGGGAAGAGATGCTGGTCACGCCGGTCAAGGGCGTGGTGGGTGTGGGAGAGGAAGCTCGGCGCGCTAGACTGTGACTGAGACCGTGGCTGTGGGCCACTGCGACGCCTGACCCGCTATCCGCACCTCCGCCGAGTGCTTGCTCGCCCGAGGAGGAGGAGACGTTGGACATGCTCTCTCGTGCTCTTGCTCTGCACCTTTGCCTGTCGTTTGGTCAATATGTGCTGATGGAAAGCGAGCGAGTAGAAGCGCAATGATGCGCGCTTCTTCTATGAGCTTCCGAGGGAGATTGCGCACGATGATTCAAAGCCACGCTTTGACGTGATAGTCGTAGAGCGCTAAAGCTCTTGATGATCGTCGTGGGTGAGACTGATTGCGAATATGGACCGCGTGTCCAAGGGGCCCCCTCGTTCGCCTTGCGACCAGGCTGATGACAGCAAGCGTATCCCAAGCAGATCCAGATGCAAGGTGGGCGTCTGCTTGGCGCACAAATTGGGGACGGTATATGGTGGTCTGATCGCTCCCCGCCTTTCCCGCTTTCGATTTGCTGCGCTCTGCAAGAATAAAAGAATAAAAAGCGAGGGGCGCCCCTTCTGATTCCCGTCCTTGGTCTGAACCTGGATCGATGTGTGAACTGCCCAAAAAAAGTGGGATCTTCAGCGCGGCCTTTGAGGGGTGGGTGAGTTGAGGGGGCTAGAAGTGAGGATCTTCCTGAGCGTGTGAGTGCGGACTACTGCGAGAGGACTCAAAGTCAACAAAGTGGGCAAGTGGGGCAAGTGGGGGTCCACAGCAATCACGCGCGAGGCCTGACCTCGAGGTGGATGTGCCTCTCTCCCTTAATTAAAGATTAGAACAATCGAGCGCGCGCATCAAATCCCAAGCCTATTTCAAAGGACCAGCAGAGTGGTACATTTAAAAAGGTATCGCACGCACGACTACTGAATTGACAGAGAGGAAAACCAAAATGGATACATTATAAATGCATTCTTGATTGTGATTCACCCATCAGAGCGCCGTATGCCCGTGAATCCGTACTCAAAGTCTCACGCTGAATGCGATGACGCGCCTTGTTGCCAAGCAAAGCGAGGAGGCCCCCCCCCCCCCACCCCCCCAGCATGCATGCAACAGCATGCGCGCAGAGCAAGCAGCAGCACCAGCCGACGTATGCAGACAGCGCGGTCGTGTGCTCGATTCCAGTCTTTTGAGTGCAAGCATGCAGCATCAGGCGGGATGAGAAGTCGAGCGTGGGGAACACGTAAATGCTGCTTGCTTGGTTTAGCGAGCATGAATCGCCAAGGTGTACCGTATATAGCTGCGTCACAGTTCGTTTGTAGCGCGGGGGGGCCCGTGCTGCCGCGCTGGTGATGCTTGATTCATGCGCGCAAAAGGTCCGTGCTCCATCGTGCTCGTGCGACAAGCTTCAATCTAAAGTAAAACTGAACCCCATTCAAAATTACACACTCGAACCCCGCTCCTGCTTCGAAAAGCGGATTGGTCCTGATTGGGAGATCTGCCGTTGCGCAATCGCACGCCGTTCCCCTCCTCGCTATCAGCCGATTCTTCGAAGGGTGCGCAAGGATGTTCCAAGTCGTGCACCTTCTAATCGCGCACTGTTTTGATGCGATTTTTTCCCAAAAGTAAAGAAAAGGGTAGGGAGAAGGTACGTCGATGGTCAGCAGGGGCGCAGACACACACTGACTAGGCGCGCAAGCACTCGGAAATTCCGCTCTCATTGCAGCGTGAGGACCAGCTAGAGCAGAGCGAGTCTGCAACCCATCTGATTGGAGGGATGCGCTGAAGAGGCGCGCAGTCGTCCTTCACTCGAAAGGCTTAGTCAAAGAAGAAGGACTCACATGGTTACAGCGAGAAGTGCCAGCATCATCACACCCAGCGCCACATGTCTGCTCATGCTCTTCTCGCCCAACAATCCAAGCAATACCCTCACTCCTTCTCTTCCTCCTCCCGCTTTGCCTTCTCGCCCTCTTGCCCTCGAGGCGGCGTTGTCAAAGCCAGCTAGCTCTTCTATTGTGTTCACATCGAGCGTGAAATAGCTTGCGCGTACTATACCCGCTACGAGGATGTAGATGGATACGGTGCTCCATCTAGGCCCCACGCCTTGACGAGAGTCCTGCATTGTCATCTTCTTCTTCTTTCCACTATCGTTTGGGAGCTCAGGCGCCAATGTGGCAGTCCTCCTTCCACGCGCAAAGGCGTAATGGTAGCAGTACGCAGCTCGAATGGCAGCGGGGACGGAACTGGCCAGAATCAAGTTGGTAGCGCTGCTGCTGCTTTGCACATGCACCGTAGCATCTTCCTTCATCTCCATGCGCGTGCGGATGGGCCAAAGCGCAAGTCCAACGGCGCCCTGGGTCAATCGAGGCAAAGCCCAAAGCGTCGTTCCAAAAGCAATCCAAGCAAGGAGCAATACCCGGTCATACTTTTGGATGTGCAGAGGCGAGGCGGAAGATTGCAGGTAGGCCTCTAGGATACCGTTGAAGGCCATGAGCGGGAGATAGAGGGATGCGTAGGTGCACAAGATGGAAGGTGCGTCGGTACGTAGTGCCCAGGTGGGACCTGCTAGAACCAGCAACACCGGAATGGAGTAGGCTTGCGCAAAGATGCAGAGGATGGGCAAGAGCGTCGAGTAGATTTGCAAAAGAGAAGTGAGCAAACGATGCGCGTCTGCGTTTGCGTCTGCGTCTGCGTCTCCGTCTGCGTGAGCGCTTGAGTCGCGACGGTTGGATGAAGGTGCTTCTTTCTTCGTCCCGCTTTGTGCGAATACCAGCCTGGACGATTCTTCGATGGGCTGAAAGACGAGTCTGGCAAAGAGCGAGCCTGTGAGCGAAGGGAACGGGTGGGGGGAAAAGGGGGATTAAGTATGGCAGCGCAGACTGGACCATGGAGTTGTGCAAAGTCGAAGCACCTCGTAAAGGGCACGAGGGCGGAGGGATGCAGCTTATATCGCCTCACCATAGTTGGAAGCGAGGGCATAAGCTCCCTGTTGATCCAGTCCTGCTCCTATTCTGGTGATGGCGAACCTGTCCGCCTCTGTCAAAGCATGTTTGACAAGAGATTGCCGCGTCATGGCTCGTACGAGAGCGAGGGTATGAGTGTCGAACCATTCTGCACACTCTGGAGTTTGTGCCTCCTGGCCTTGAGAACCAGCTGCAGGTGCAACCGAGGGAAGAAGAAGGGGAGATCGAGTCAGGGTGTAGAGAGATAGAGTGCCGTTGAAGCCCCAGTGTTGCAAAAACCAAACGAGGTGAACCAATAGTACGGCTGCTCCGTAGGCTGTCTGACCCAGTGCGAAAGCTATCAGTGTCGAAATGGAGGAGGCTGAAGAGGGAGAGGAGCTGCGAGAAGTCAGAAAGACTACGAGGGCAGTGATGACGCAGCGAGAGAGGACAGCAGCTCCTTCGGACCTTATCCGAAGTGTAAGGTTGGATGCGGAAGAAATGGGCGTGCCCTTCCATGCCCTGTCCTCCTCCTTCTCCGCCTCTCCCTTGTCGATTTCAGCATCGTCGTGTTTGACCGCGCTCGGCTGTTTTGACGAAGGATTTGCAGCGGCATCATCCCCTTGCGCACTCATGCGCCCGCTCAGAGCTCTTGTGTAGAGCGGCTCAGCAAGCAATTCTAGCGCCGCACCAGCTAGATAGCCCAGCAGTGCGATTTCGAAATGCGGCAGTACGAGCAGAGAAGAGGGGGCTAGAAATGTGGGGTAAGCGTAGTAGATGAGCGGAAGGACGAAGATGGAAGAGTAAAGAGGTAAAAGGGCTATGTTCTGCCTCGACCTTTCTTGCAGGGCCATGACCTTTGCACGCCGTTGTTGCATCGGTCCATCCAAAGAGCTCGCTTCTGCAAGCTGTGTATGGGTGTGAACAAAAGGAGGAGCTGGTGGATGGAGTGGTGTGGAACGCAAGAGAGCGCCCCGCACGCCTTCTCTGCTGAGGAATAGCACGGTACTGAGCACCAAATCGAGATGGATATGCGAAGCGGCAAATTCCTGAGGAGGCGTGAGACGGACGAGGAGTTGTGTGAGGATGGTGGATAGCAAACGCGTGCATAGTTGAAGAAGGAATAGCGAAGAGAGCGACATGATGCGCTAGACTTGGGGGCTGGATTCGACTTGGAACTTGGCTTGAATCGAATGGAGTCTGGCTTTGACTGCGTCGAGATGGTTTTGATGATTGAATTGCGTCGTGAGAGGCGGGTGTAAGCTGTTGTATTTGCTCTTGAACGAACGCTTCTCTTCTGTCGATGAGCAAGCCTGGCTGTGCGGATGTGTGCGGGATGGTGCTGACAGACACTCTTGACTCTCGTCTCGTCGAACTCTTGCTCCTCATCCGCTTGACTGGGGTGTATGCATGCGTGCAAACGCTGGAGCGGTGCGAGTGCAAGAAATGGATCAACAGAATGACTTTTGTGCTTGCTCGTGCTGCACAATTCCAGCTGCTCTCACAACTTTGACTGCCATCCGATTTCATTCGATCAGAATCAAGGAGGTTGGGCAGATCAAGTCGCGCGTACCAATATGGCCATGCCGTGCCGTGCCGTGCCGTGCCGTGCCGTGCCCCGTTACGTGCAGATCTTCTTCTACCCTCCTCACAAATCGCCCATTCTCTCGGCTCTTGATCAGCTTGAATGGGATGAATGCACGAATCGTAGAGAGGGGTGAGTGTGAGATGAACGGTGGCCTTTGCCTGCTGCCTAGCTGCCTCTTGGTGAAGCGCCCCTTCACCCAAGATCGACAGGCTCATCGATCGGTTTCAATTTGAATTCAGTTTGAGTGATTGCTGCAGTCGTGAGTCGTGAGTCGCATCTCGCATGCACATGCTGAGCCTGCTGCACCGTACCGGTACCGGTTGTCTGCGCACATGCATCACGTCGACGTGGAGGGCATGCAATTGTGAATCAAGCGCGTTCTGCTGCTGCTGCTGCTTCAGCTATGCTATAGGATGGGCGAGAAGTGCGCGCACGCACGCACGCAGCACGCATGCATCCAGCATTCAGCCAGCCAGCAATTTGCCCCGCGGACATCCATCCATGCGCAGCGTTGTGACTGATATGCGTCATTTTGATTCGTCATTCACATTCAAGATTCACAATCACGATTGTGATTCGATTCAAACTTTACGAGACACAAGATTCAGTAAGCAGCCTGCAGATGGGACGTGATTCTTGATTCAAATTCCAATTCGAATTCGAATTCCAATTCCAATTCCACGCGTGTGCACGGGTCAAGCGTCCAAGTACCCCATAACGAGTTGACTCGGCATTCACATCCCTTCGCTACGACCATCTGACGTGAACAACGATGACGATGACGAGGATGAGGACGTGGTCATCAGCGTAGATCTTCACACCCATCACACCACCCTTCTATTCACAAGTGGGCGTCTGTGTAGCGCTCTCGACAACGTCTTGACCTTCCAGCCAGCTGGATTGCAACCGAGTCCGACTAGCCACTCGCCCTCGCCCTCGCACCCGCATCCTTCTCTCCTGCCCGCCGGCGTTCGATCGAGCTTAGCTAAGCAAAGCGAAGCAAAGCATCGCATCGCATCGCAGCTATGGTCGGCGCACGCTCTCGTCCACAGCGTCTAGAGCGTCGACAGTTTCCCCCAAATGGAGCAGAACATCAGACCCTCTACATGCACTGCGATTCCATCGCTCTGCGCCATACGTTGCGCAATCACAGGCCTAGACCTCGCATTCCATTGACACCTTGCGCCATCGTCTTGCTCCTATGCGTCATCTTTGGGCTGATCTTCGGCGAGGTGCATGCTAATGGGAATGCCCACGCTCGCGATAGCAGAGCTGTTCAATCGCAGCCACAGTCGCAATCGCAATCGCAATCATCCTCTTCAAATCGGCAACGAGAGGCAGCAGAGGTGGGAGGCGCAGGTTCGGGAGATGGCGAGGCGGGGGATAAGCGTGCGGGTGGGAGGGAAGCGCCAAAGGAAGAGGAGCAAGAGGCACTCCATGCACCTCCTTGGCTCGACTTGTCGCCTGAACAAGCATTACGTCAGGCGCTCTCCTTGCTCGACAACACCATCCTCCCGCCCACGCCAAGTACGAGCACGCATACAGAGACCCCTTCCTTTTCGGCAGACGCAGACGTCCGAGATGAAGATGATGAAGAAGCCCCACTTCGCAAGAGTCGCAAATGGTTCAAGCGGTTGTTGCGTAGACGAGCAGAAGACAGCTTCACTTCAGACAGCAGCGACAGACAAAAGCACGGAGCGGTGCACGATGCAAGCTCGCCCAATGCGATGGAGCTTGTTCGAGCTGTTTGGGCATTGTTGAAGAGGCACACGCCTGTTGGGTCTTTGGTGAGGTTCATCGATCGCCTGTACAACCTCCAAGCGGCATCTTCCATCCGTCTACGTGCTCGGCTCAAACAACTAGGCTTCGACATTGCACCTTCTACCTCTTCCTCCTCCTCGTCATCCTCCTCCTCAGCTTGGAGAAGGAAGAGCCCCATGTGGGAAAAGGTGCATGTGGGATCTTCGAATGGGAATGACGGATCGAGGGAAAAGAGGATCTTGTTGAATGGACCTTTGCACATTTGGCCCGCTTGGACTTTGACCGGTTGGCAGGGAGCATCCAGCGGTCCTTTTCTCTTTCCCAACAATCGGCCAAGGGAAGAGGAAAGGAACACGAATTTGAAAGCGATGAGGTTCAGAAAGAAGAGCTACTCGGACAGGCTCATCCTCAGCTTCAAGGAGCGATTCGGAATCGCGGACGAGGGACATGTGATGAGGGGCACATGGAGGCTCACTTGGAGATTTGGCAGGCCCATTGACCGAAAGGCCGAGGAGGCGTTGGAGAAGAGAGACAAGGCAATGATGTTGTTGGAGTATGCAGCGGGATTCAGATCGGCCAATTCCACCGCTCAGCAATCCATCGACTGGCAAGCGGTGCGACGCAAGACCTCTTCGCCTCTCAGCGTGCTCCAGCAGCACTTCTCCGGCAATCCGACAAAAGTCAAAGGCGAAAACTTGACATTGGTGGACGCTAGAGCCCGCTCCGACGCGCTTTTTGTGCTGGGTCAAGTATCCAACTATGGGCTGTACGGTCTATCCGAGCAGACCGATCGAGCATACGTCTCTTTCAAAAAGCTGATTGACCTGCCCGACGTGTGGGCTTCGGACGTGTCCGACTCGCTCAGCCAGGCTGAAAAGAACGCTGCGGTCGAATTTGGGTCAGGGCCAGTATCTGGACTAGGACGAGGAAATGCGACGGCGAGCGCGCTGTTGGCGGATATTGTAGGGGGCGCTTGGAGCGCTAGTGGGATTGCCCTGCAAGCGCATGGCGTGGAAACGCAAAAGGTGCAGCAGGACAAGGTGAGTTCTGCAAAGTGTTGTAGCGTGTGCCTCGAAGCGTCACCATCGCACGCACCGACAATACGCGGCGACGCGATGATGTCGCATCAAATTTTTTTTCGACCGCTTGTGCTCAGCCCGTCCTGACCCTTCCTATTTGATTGCGAATTGCACGCTTCCAGGCTCTTTTGCATTACCATACGGCTGCACGCGCCGGCGATTTTGCCGCCCAAACTACATTGGGATATCGATATCATGCGGGCATCGGAGTGCCCAGCGACTGTGCTGAGAGCTTGAGGTGGTACGAAAAGGCTGCTGAGCAGGGTGAGCACTGACACGAGCAGCAATACGGGACTCGTCGCTCATCATCTGAGAGGTGGAAAGAGTTCCGAATATGTTGAGGCTGACGCGCGACCCCTGGAATCGCATCGCTTGCGCTGCCGTGCTCTTCTGTTAAACAGCTTACCAACACTTCTTGACCGGACCTCCCGGCGGATTGGGAATGCCTCTAGCAAAGACGCGTCTTTCGGACTTGGATGGCGGAGCGTACGGACCGGGGGCGTCTGCTGCATCTACGGGTCTAGCGGCCCGTCGACCGGCCATGGCGGCCATATTGCACTCCCTGCCCTCTTCCGATCCCAATCGCATCGGAGATCTGCTAGAGTACTACACGCACCACGCCTTTCGAGGACACACGTTTTACGCGCTCAAATTGGCGCACATTTGGTACGCTGGATCGGTGTACGCCTCTTTGGGAGGTGCAGGTGCGGCGACGTCGATGCAGGGAGCAGAAGGAGCGGGAAGAGTGAGCAGGGATTATGCAAAGGCTAGAATGTGGGCTTTGAGGGTCACGCAGGATGTGTGGCCCGTCGATTCTAGAGTGGTCAAGAGAGGAGGTCCGGCGGGCTATGTGGCTAGCAAAGGTCAGAAGGGAGAAGATGTCAGATTGAAACACGACGATGTCAGATTGGCGCAGGCGGCTAGTGCGGCGGCCATGATGGGAAAGATGTTCCTCAGAGCAGAAGGCACTTCACAAGACTTTCATCGCGCATGGGTTTGGTTCCGCAGAGCGACGGATCTGGTGAGTGGTCGCGCATTTTCCATTGTTTGCATGTGGCATGGGAACTTATTCGGACATGTGTGCCGTGCCCGCGCCCGACCATGCAGGGAGATGTGGAAGGCTACAACGGACTGGGCGTCATGTATCGCGATGGACTCGGCATGCCTCGCGATGTGAAGAAGGCGGTGGAATACTTTGAAGCAGCTAGCAATGTGGGAGTTGCAAGCTCGCAAGAGGGCTGCGTGAATTTAGCGCAGATCCACCTGGGTGAGCAGCGATGCGGTGTTAGCGCAGATCGGACCAAGAGGCACGTTTGCGGCTTCGAGCTGACCGAGTCTTCTACTCTGTGACGCACCGCCTTTTTGCGTGAATGCAGCGATGGGAGATCTGGCTGCTGCTGCCAAATTCTTGGAAGCGGCCATGCGTCTGGGCAATCCGTTTCAGGCTTATTACCTCCTAGCGACGATCCATGCCCGTCTTGCGCGCTCTCCCGTCGGGCTACCGCTGGTTCGCAAGGAAGATCAAGCGCCCATAGGTCCTCCGGGCACGGCCTCGCACGAGAGGTGCAAATTGGCCGTCGCGGGTTTCAAATTGGCTACGGAGAGAGGCGACTGGTTGAATCCGGCCTTTGCGAGAGGGCAGGATGCTTGGGTAAAGGGAGACGCGCTCATGGCGCTCAGACTTTGGAGCGCGGCGGGCGAGATGGGATACGAAGCGGCGCAGAACAATGTTGCGTACACCCTAGATAAAGGTGAGGGGGGTGGGGAGGGGGGTCGAATGGAGCGGACGCGAAGATGGGTGCCCGGTGTGTCCGACTATGCTCACGAAAGTCGCTTCGTGATGTTCCCTCCTATGCACCTAGACAAGCATCGGCTGCGCGTACCGGCCATAGGCGCACAGCCATCATCCGCCAACTCGGCCAGCGATCGCCTCGCCTTGATCCAATGGACTCGTAGCGCAGCTCAAGACAATGTGGATGCGCTCGTCAAGATGGGCGATTACTACTTTCACGGAATAGGCATCCAGGATGCGGCGCTTTTGCCTACCGAGATCACCGTTGCCGAGTCGGAAACGATGCCTGACGCGTTCAGCAGCGCTGACTCTTCCACCAACAGCAGGAGGAGCAGCAGTAGCAGCAGCAGCGAGAGCAAGGATGCCTGGGCTAGTAGCAGAGCAGCGTTCTTGTCTCACCCCATCCAATCACCGTCTGCTCCTTCGTACGAAAAGGCAGCAGCTTGCTATGCTGCAGCAGCGGATCGACAATCTTCAGCCTTGGCCTACTGGAACATGGGCTACCTGTACGAGTCTGGTCTTGGAGTGCCAAGACAAGACTTTCACTTGGCAAAGAGGTACTACGATATGGCGGTGGATGTGAGCTCGGAAGCTTATCTGCCCGTAGCGCTCAGCCTGGTCAAGCTTCATTTGAAGGCGCTCTGGGCTACGCTCCGACGCGGAGATGCTTCGGCTATCGCCTTGCTGAAGAGCTACGCTCATGCTTCGTCCGCTTCGGACGGCCAGGCCGCTTTGGCGTATACGGAAGGACAGGAAAAAGCGGTGCTCGAAGCTGCTGCAGCTGTCGCTAGAGCTGGCGGGGGCCAAGGACAAGATGGAGGCGCTGCTCGAACGCACGATCAGCAAGGTATGCATCGTGCGCGCGCTCAAGGACAGCAGCACGCTCGACACGGAGCAGCAGCAGGTCGTGCGGGGCTCAATCCTGCACAAGCCGATGCGCAGATGGGTCAAGGTGGAGATGTCAATTTGCCCGAGACGTACGATGTGCGACAGAGAGGCGAGGAAGGAGCGGGGGATTCGATTCGCAATGGTGCAAACGGCGCCTCGCCGCGCGATGGTGGTGGTGGCGGTGGTGGGGAGAGGGATGCGAGACGCTTCGATGCGGCTAGAGAAGAGGAGCTGGACGAGATGATCGAAGGTGCACTGATCGTCTTTGGTCTGGCTGCTCTGGCTGTGCTGGTGTATATACGACAGGGCGCTGCGATGAGGGCGGAACGAGAGAGGAGAGAGGAGGAAGAGCGGAGGAGAAATCATCGGGCAGATGGCGCGCCTGCGCCTGCGCCTGGGCTCGCGGGCACGAACGATGCGGCACCGTTGGATCGAGATGATGCCATTGGTAACGGCGGCGGTGGCGGCGGTGGTGGTGGTGGCGGTGGTGGAGGTGGTGGCTTTTTGGGAAATATGGGGCGCGGTCAACCGGACTTGCCCTTTCCTTGGCCGCCCGAAGGTGCCAACGTCTATGCCGGTTTGTGATCCCGCACCTTTTTCACCTCCCATCATTCCCGCCCCCCCTCACTTGCCCATTTCGAATGAAGGCTCTACCCCATTTCGATGGGGGAGAAATCTTGTCTTGTCACACGTCTCACGCACGAAATTTTTTCAAAACATGTCATTGTACCGCCCTCCATCGTGACGCTGTCCGAGCCTCAAATGGACAATGTCGTTGGGGTTGGGGGGGACGTGCCACGGCGAGCTGCTAGCAGTATTCGAATGCAACCAACATCATCCCGAAGAGGACGCCTGTTGCGCTTCGTCTTCAGCTTTGTCCGCCTTTGGCTGGCCAGATGCATCGGGAGCAAGATCAATATCTCCGTCGTCGGGCGACGCTTGCCGTTCCACGAGCTTGATGAAAGCCAAGGAAAAAAAGGTTTTGCCAATACGGCGGGGAGGTTGATATCAGCATGCGAACATTACGGCATCATGGTTCATACAATTCATCGGCGCCTCTCTCCCTCTCTGTCTCTCTCTGCTCTCATTACTCACGCTGACTAGAAGCTCCTAGGGAGTGGGAATCAGTACAGTCAGCGAATAGCGTTACCCATCTGCAAAGCTCGAGGCGGTACACACCTCGATTCTTCGGCTCCTCTTTTCTTGCTGGTCTAGTCTCTCGCTGAGCGCGAGAAAGAGGTCTCTCGTGCTTGCTCCTCCGCCATCCCCATCCTCATCGGTGAAATGGTGTGCATCAGCAGCAGCAGCAGCATCCTTGTCAGGCCGAGCCTGCCTCAGCGGTGACACGGCTGCATTTCGCCCTCTTCTTCTGCCGCCGCCGCCACCACCACCACCAGAAAAGATGCGCGCAAGCGGACTGGACAAGGAAAAGGCTTGGGAAGGGTTGGAGTGGTCGGGACGACTGGATGCAGATGCAAACGTTCCACCTTGCGCGTCTTCCAATGCTCTCGATGCGGCGGATGGACTGCTGGATCTTTTGCCATCCTTCGTTTGCGTCTCTTGCTCTCTCGAGCTAGGTCGAGTAGTGCCTGAAGCCTTGTCAACGTGCGAGGGCACGACATTCGCGGTCTGCTTGCCAGACGTCTCGACGGCGCCATACCCAGCCTGCCCTTCGGCACCGTGCGAGCAGCCTTCTGGGTCCCGAGGTAGACTTGCAGACGACGGTCCGCCACCGCTCTTTGCGTATTCGCGAAATGACAAGTCTGCATTGCGATGGCGAGTTGCAAGCGAGTCTAGAGTTCGGCCTTGGTCTTCGGGCGGGGATCTGCTAAATACGGCATCGACAATGTCCATGTCGCTCTTGCCACTTCTTGGAAGCGGCATCCACGAAAATGCTCGACTAGCTCTGCTAGCTGTCAGCTCGACGCCTTCGCGCAAGCCCCTCTTTTGCGTGGCTCTGATCAGGAGCAGCATCGGCCAGTGCGTTGCCCTGATGAGCGCCACATTGAGCTTGTGCAGCCAGCGAGGCGTTAAGACGTAGCTGGCTGGAAGCACGACCAGGACGCCAATGAGGTTGAGCGGTGGAATGTAGGAGAAGAGCGCGTCCGTCGTTACGCCCAGCATGGTCTTGCAGGCGTGTTGGAACATGGCCTCCTCCGCTGCGTTGGTTGCGACGACGGTGAACGTGTTGCTCAAGAGCGAAATGAGGACGGTCAAGAGGAGCGTGTTGGCCATGATTGCGAAAAAGACCATGAGCGGCGGTCCAAAGATGGGGGAAAAGTCTGTGGCCGTATCGAATCCTATATAAGAGCTTCCGAACCAAATCTTGAGCATCAACCACATGATGCTGCCCACGGTCCACTCGGATTTGTCCGAAAGCGACCAAAAGGCGTACAGGAAGCCGGAGAAGCAGATGGATGCCAGCAGCATGAAAAAGGCGAAATCGGCAAACATTGCCTTGAGCGCGAGGAGAATGACATTGTCCTGCACCAGCGACGAAGCGACTCTTGGACAAAGCAAGATTGCGCCCACTGCCAAGCAATCGAACGACAGATCGCACCTAAGGGCATCCGAGTGGACCAGCCCCGAGATTCGGAGACCCAGCCAAGAGAAGGCGACGATGCAGAAGGATGCGCTGTCGCGATGGACCAGGTTTCAGCTGCGAGTGTCGATAGCAGGTCCGCGAGACTTACTCGAGCAGGTTGTACAATGAGCTCGCATACACCTCGACCCCGTGTTCTAGGGAGCGGGGTCGCATCAGCACGAGAGCGGTGTGTGGATCGCATCATGCAGGACTCACCTTGAAGCTGGGCTGCTTCGTCGAGCGCGAATCCAAAGACCCAGATGGTGAATACTGTTTCCCAGCCAGTCCATGTCTGGGATCCTTTTTGCTGCCTGTGATTGGTTTTGGAGGAAGGAAGAGGAGGAAGGGAGAGGGGGGAGGAAGAGGGAGAAGGAAGAGCAGGGAGAAGGAGAGAGGAGGAGGAGGAAGGAGGAGGAGGAAGGAAGAGGGGGAAGGAAGAGGGGGAAGGAAGAGGGGGAAGGAAGAGGGGGAAGGAAGAGGGGGAAGGAAGAGGGGGAAGGAAGAGGGGGAAGGAAAAGGATTAAAGTAAAGCTCGCCACTGGCCACGACATCGCACGAAGCTCCTACCCACAAGGCCAAGACAAAGAAGCAAAGCAGACTTTTTGGGGGACGACGAGCAGCAAGTCTTGTGGGTCAGCGGCTGACGGGGTTGGTGGCCGCGAAGCTCCTCTTTTTTGTGGGGGGGGGGGGGGATGCAGCACTCGCTCACAGGACGAAATTGCAGAATTCGATGCGGCTCCGGATGAGTGGCACTCGAAGACGATAATGGTCCAGTAGAGGAGCTTTGGCAGGATCATAAATGGACAGTGGTCGTTTTTTGTACGAGTCGTCTACGATCTGGGCGGCGCGCGCGCGCGCGCGTGACGATGCGGGAGCAATGTGAGTCGCGTGCGCACAGGGGGCGGGACGTTTGGCTTTGGATGCTCACTGCGTGGCTGGCGGGTGCGCTGAGCACCACTCTGCCGGTCCAGATGCCGTCGATCTGTCGCGGAAAAGGTGGGGGAGAGTGTGGGCGACGAGGCAGGTATGCGGGACAGAGCGGGCGATGAGGCCAGGTATGCGGAACAGAGCGGGCGATGAGGCCAGGTATGCGGACAATGCTGGCTCGATTCGACGCACGCACTCACACATCGTTGACAAAGGGGACTTTTGATGAATCTCTTTGCACCGCTGTATATTGCTAGCTCCATGGCAGATGAGGTCTGTGTAGTGTGAGGCGAAGGCGCTGCCGACGCCGCCTGCTGAGAAGGCGAGCTGCTTCCGGATGTGCTTGGCGAGGTGCTTGTGCTTGGAGTCGGTTCGAATGGCGCTCCTGCGAATGGAGAGAATGGCGCTGTGAGGGCGGTGACGAGCTGCAGGCCATCGTGAGAGAAGGTGCCTGGCGAGGGGGATTGTCGCGCAGGATTACGTGTATGAGCGGTGTGCGGCGCGGTGAGTCGCGAGTCGCGAGTCGTGTGACTTACGTAGAAGCTTGATGGCGAGCAGCTCGCACAGACTTGCGCGGGTCAAGTTGACGCTCTGAAAGGCCAGATCCTGCGGTGTGAGGGGCGTGCGTGCACGGCGAAGGGTGGGGG